AAAAAAAAAAAAAAAAAAAAAAAAAAAAAAAAAAAAAAAAACGGGAGTCCATTATTTTGGGTTCACAGTAAGGTTTCCTAGTAAGTGACTCCAACCCAGCCTAATGTCTCAGTGTCAGTTCAAAGCACACACTGTCTGGCACTGTGACGGGTGTTGGGCACGCAGGAGGCGTGTGACTCAGCTTCTGAGTGCTGATGGCAGAAGCGCTGGGAAAAGCCCTGACCCAGTCTTCCACTGCCACTGTTCAGTCCTTTCAACTGGCCATTAGGCCCTTACACTGGATGTCCAGTATTATCACATGCTTCAGGGTTCCCCCACAAACGCCTCTCTTCCTGTGTGTCCCCCTTGCTGCTGGCAGTGCATCTGTTCCATGTTGCTTCCAGTCTTGAGGCAAAGCAGCAGCCAGGGGGTCCCCAAGGTCGTCCCTCTGTGCCAGCGCCCCTTCCTGGGCGTGGACCCCTCTTCTCTTTTTCTTCCTTCCATGGGCCCATAGCTAGCCTTCCTCCCCTGGTCAATGCTATTCCTCCCTCTCTTCCCTTGGGGATACGGAGCGGGTGCTACCTGGCTTTCCCTCCCTGCTGCCCTGGTGCAACACAGATGCCCAGGAGAGGGGAGCTCCCAGGTGACAGGAGCCCTCAGAGTTCTCAAGGACTCTTGCCTCCTCCACTCCCTCCCGGGGCCATTCTCTAGGAGCCCAGGTTCTGGAGTTATGCAGACCTGGGACAGATTCTGATGGTGATGGCAATCTACTTAACTTTTCTTTTCTTTTTTTTTTGAGACAGAGTCTCACTCTGTCGCCAGGTTGGAGTGCAGTTGTGCAATTTAGGCTCACTGCAAACTCTGCCTCCCGGGTTCAAGCGATTCTCCTGCCTTAGCCTCTGGAGCAGCTGGGATTACAGGCATACGCCACCATTCCCAGCTATTTTTTGTATTTTTTTTAGTAGAGATGAGGTTTCACCATGTTGTCCAGGATGGTCTTGATCTCTTGACCTCATGATCTGCCTGCTTTGGCCTCCCAAAGGGCTGGGATTATAGGAATGAGCCACGGTACCCGGCCTGCTTAACTTTTCTATGCTTCCACTTTCTGCCCTGAAAACTGGAGAGGAAATGGTGCCTGCCTTAGGTGAGCGGGCAGTTGTGGGGTGGAAGATGGCAGTGCACGTGGAGCATGGACCACCATGAGGGGTCCACAGTGGGCCCACTCCAGTGATGGCAGCAGATCATTGTAACCATCACAGCCTGCTGCAAGACCCCAGGATGGTGGCTGGAGACCCCCAGACCTCCCTTCCTCCCAGGCGGAGCCCCAAGATGAGGTCTCCATGCTTCTGGAGCCTCTGGCTGCAGAGGACAACCCATCCGTTTATCCTCCCCAGGCCTGAGTCCACCCTGGCTCTTCATGAAGAGACATAGCTCTTCTGCCATCACAGCTGTGGCTGACTCAGTACCCCACCCCTGTGGCCTGGTTTTTACTGGCCTCTCCTTAGTCAGGCCTGGGGGGATCCACCTCCCCAGCCTGGCCTTAGGGCAACCAGGCCACCCTCCTCTCACACATCATCCAGACAGTCTCCCGGCCTGTCAGTCCCAAAGACAGGCCTGAAACACTAGGGGCTTCGAACACCTGCACAGCCCCAGAACCAAGGAGACATCGTCATTGACTCACATGCTCATATGTTTGTTCATTTATATTCACTCATTCATTTGATCCAGATCCAGGCATGAAACATTGACCTCACCCAGGTGCATGTGAAGGGCCCAGGAGGGAGGAGGCTTTTCTTTTTTTTTTTTTTTTTGAGATGGAGTTTTGCTTTTGTTGCCCAGACTGGAGTACAATGGCATAATCTTGGCTTACTGCAACATCTGCCTCCTGGGCTCAAGCAATTCTCCTGCCTCAGCCTCCCAAGTAGCTGGGATTATAGGCATGTGCCACCACACTCAGATAATTTTGTATTTTTAGTAGAGACGGGGTTTCTCCATGTTGGTCAGGCTGATATCCAACTCCCGACCTCAGGTGATCTACCCACCTCGGCCTCCCAAAGTGCTGGGATTACAGGTGTGAGTCACCGCGCCCGGCCAGGGAGGAGGGCTTTAAGCACCATGCAGCACTTTCCAGGCCTCGAGCAGTACTAGCAGGTGGAAGGGTGTTCCCAGTCCTGTAGACGCAGCCTGGGCTGGGCACTGTGTGTGCCACAGGGAGTCAGGGCTCCCAGTCTGCTCCCTCCAGCCTGGCCTCCTGTTGCTGGTCTCTTGTGTGGCCCTGCCGAGTACCTGGGCACTCCATCCTGATGGCAGAGGCCCCATGCAGCCCATCTCTGACCTGGCCTCTCTCCCAGAGGCGGCCTGCCTCCTCTGTCTGCAACCGACCCCTCCTGCACCTGCAGTGCGTGCTGTCTTGTCCTGCAGCTGGAGGAGGAAGCTGGATGTAGAGGAACTCAAGGCCTGTGTTCACCCACAGTCTTCTGCCGTGCTCCCTTTTTTATGAATGCCAACCTGGGGCCTCTCTTGCTCAGCCTTCTGCTCACTCGGGATTGCCTACTGCTGCCTGACCCCCAGCCAGGAAGGGGCCCGTGCATCCTGGGTGGCCAGGAGGACAGGGGCCCTGGCTGGGGAGGGAGGCCTACCTTTGACGGCCACGTGGACGCTCTGGCTGATGGAGAGCTGGGGCTGGATGAGGACGCTGCACAGGTACTCCCCCTCGTCCATGCCCTTCTGCACGTCGGTCAGCTTGAGGGTCCCGTTCTCAAACACCACCTGGCGGTGGTTGTCCGGCAGCAGCAGGGCATCCTTATACCACTTGATGGAGTAGTAGGGATAGCCGATGACCCTGCAGTTGATAAGGGTGTCCCGCCCGGCGACTGCTGTGATGTTCCTCATGGCCCGGATGCTGGGGGGGCCTGGGCAGGGATCAGGAGAGAGGAGGAGGAGAGGAGGGGCATGTGCTGCCGTCAGCCAGGGACAGCCGGGCACCACCCTGAGGTCCTCTTCTCAGGAGTTTGGCCCCTGAGACTTTCAGGGAGTGGACGTTGGGTGGGGGCACAGGGATACCTTTTTACAAAGCTACAGACAGGGGCTGGTATTGGGGGTTGCCCAGGACTCACTGTTATTAGCTTCAAATAATTGCAAACAGATGCAGTGTATACATGCCTGAGGCAAGAGCCATTCCTCTTGTGGGACCGGGATAGGAGCAGACTGCAGCCCCACCAAGGAGTGACTGGGATTTGGGAGGGCAAGTACTCATTTATGGGGAGATTAAGATTTTAGGATTAAAGTGGAAAGATGGAGATTTTGTTGTTTCCATTCTCCTTGCTTATTTTGATCTTGTACCCAAAAGGATTTTAAGTTATCTACTTAAAGATGACAGGAAGGCCTTCGCCAGCTGAGCTGATGACTTTCCTTCAGTAAGTAAATGTGTGTTGTAGGAGCTGTGAAGGGCTTCTGATAGTGCTGGCTGGGGAGAGACAGTGTCCTGGGCTGGGCCTGCTGGGCAGATGGCAATCTGGGAGTTGGAAAGGGGGGTTCAGAGGCTACCAAGCAAGACAGTGCTCCACGGGGTAAAAGGTACTCTCTGGGCCTCAGGTCCCCATCCAGAACCTGAGGGGCCCGACTGGGAAATCTTCCAGAGCCCTGCTGTCCCCCGTGCAGTTCAGAGGAGAGAGCAGGAGGGTGGCCAAATGGGAAACCCACACTTCTGCGGGGGGCCGGGGGTACAAGGCCTGGCACAGACAAATTTAGCAAAAACTCCACCTTTGCTCCCTTTCCTGCCCCCATGGTAGCCAGGAGTGCCCCTGGATCAGAGCCCCTTCCCTTCTGCTGTCCCCCCGCTCCTCTGTCCTTGGATCAAATGAAGACCAGTCAGAAGACCCCAGGGGCTACAAAGAGCTTCAAAGGAGACTGTGTTCTCACCACAGTGACTTGGAGAGCTGAGATGTGGGGATAATGCCCTTGAGGCCTCTTTTCTCCAGTCTTGGAGGCTGCCTGCCTTGGGACACCCCCACCCCACCTCAGCCTCTCACTCTTGATGGCATGAGCCTTGCAGAAGATGATGCCCTGGCTCCTGGCTGCTTACACCTCCTGGAGCATTTTGGGGGCTGGCTCAGTGGGAAGGCCAAGCCTGGCCCCCAGCCCCTTCCCTGTGTTGGCCTTACAAGGTCCTGGTGGGGCTGGAAGATACCAGCAGGTGCTTAGCATACTTGGGCCCCAGAGAGATTTGATGGGGCGGAATGGGCTAGAGGGTAGGAGGAGGGCTCTACAGGTTGGATTTCTGGAAAGGAGGAAGGAGGATGGGGGATGGGGAGGTGAATGAGGGTGAACTGTACCAGACACACACACTCACACAAAAATGGATGATGGCACTTGAGGAGGGCGGGGAAAGGGGACGAGAGAGGGGAGAGAGACCTCTACCAAAATCAAAATGACGATTAATAATCAGTACTAATCAGCACAAGAATAATGGTAACCACAGAGATGGCAAAGGAACTCAAAAACCTATTCTGATATTTAAATGTAGACAGGCACCTCTTACGTTTATTCGCGCCTGATATTCAGCACTGCCCACCGAGTTCCGCGCCGTGCACCGGTACACACCCCCATCACGGATCTGGGGGCCTGTGACGTTCATGTGGCTGATGGTGGTGCCATCCGACATGGTGTACTGGTTGGTACGGTGGCTGCCATCCCGCATGATGGGCTCGTCGTCCAGGGCCCAGGTGACTGTGGGGGGCGGGGCACCCTTGGCCGCACACATCAGTGAGAACTGCTCCCCGGGGTTGACCACCTTCTCGCTGAAGGATGAGACGATGCGGGGCGTGCCATCTGCAGGGAGTGAGGAGCCCCCTTCAGTGTCAGCGAGCCATGAAGAGATCGTCCCCCCAGCCACCCCACCTCAGCAGGGGCGGAGGCAAAAAGCAATCGCAATAAGAAAAAGAACTTTCATGTACATCAGTTCCTCTGCTCTCCACAGCCCCAAGAGGTGCCAGTTACTGCTGGACATGGATTCAGGCTGTAGGGTTTGCATCCTCCCTCAATCACTTATTAGCTCTGGGTCTTCGGGTAAGTTGCATAATCTCTCTGCCTTGGATCTCTTCTGGATGGAAGATGGGGATATCAGCGATTGTGATTATACCCACCTCATGGATATTCTGAGGATGAAATGAATTAATGCATTTCAGAGGCTTCGCACAGCGCTTTGTAAGTTCTTAATAAATGTTAGTTCCTCTCAACTCTTCCTCTGTTAATAAAGACACAACATGGTGGCGCGTGCCTGTAGTCCCAGCTACTCAGGAGGCTGAGGCGGGAGAATCACTTGAACCCTGGAGGAGGAGGCTGCAGTGAGCTGAGACCGTGCCACTGCACTCCAGCCTGGGTGACAGAGTGAGACTCCTTCTCAAAAAAACAAATAAATAAAAATAAAAAATAGAGACACCAGCTCAGAAGTTAACTGCCTAGAACTGCATATGGAACCGCCTGGGCCTGTGGAGTCTGATTCCAGTTTCCTCTGCGTGGGACCTCAGGAGAGGGTGGCGGTGCTGCAGCGCCCCTAGCACAAGGCCTTAAGTCTGAGGCTGAAAGTGCACAGAAGCAGTGGCAGTGAGGAATGTTGGCCGGGCCTTAAGTCTTGGCTAACAGAATAACCTTGGACAAGACAATTAACCTCGGTGCCCTGGCTTCCTCACGTGGAACGCGGGAATGTGATTATTAACCCTGGCCATCCTTCTGCACAGGATTGTTATAATGGATTAAAACAGGCATTAAGTATTTTAAAAGTAGGCCGGGCACAGTTGCTCACGCCTGTGATCTCAGCACTCTGGGAGGCTGCGATGGGAGGATCGCTTGAGCCCAGGAGTTGGAGACCAGTCTGCGCAATGCAGAGAGACCATGTCTCTATAAAAAAGGTAAAAAAATAGCCAGGTGTGGTGGCATGTGCCTGTAGTCCCGGCTACTCAGGAGGCTGAGGCAGGAGGACTGCTTGAGCTCAGGAGTTTGAGGCTGCAGTGGGCTATGACTGCAGCACTGCACTCCAGCCTGGGCAACAGAGCAGTGAGACCCTGTCTCTGAGAAACAGAAACAAGAAGCAAAAAGGAAGACAAATGTTTGTCTGGTCAGGGTGAGGAATGAGGGCTTAGGTTCCTGGGTGCCTCACACCTCCAAGGAGTGTGGACCCACAGGCTGTGACGGGGGACCTGGGGACGATCCCGTACCTGTGGGGCCTGCTTGGGTTTGGCTGGCATCTTTGTCACAACAGATCCTTCCAGAACAGGATTGCGTTGTGTTTTGTTTTGGCGGCAATGAAGGAGGAGCTGGGGGAGCATTCAACTTGTTGGTGAGGATGGGGTTTCTGCCAGCCCCCACTGCACCTCTGTACAAATGAGGAAGCGGTGCCTCCTCTGTGTGGATGCAGCCTGGTGTCAGGGCTCGTGGCTTGGCAAATGAGGTGCAGGCTGGATTTCAGTCCTCACCTACCCTCTTGGTTGGGCAATGTGTGCAGTGAACAACCTGAACAACCATACTCAGAGGTGCTGGGTGAGGAGCCCTGGGTGGTGGCAGCTTTAAAGGAGGAGAGAGGAACAAACATGTAAAAGCCAGGATGCTGGTGAGACAGCCTGTCTTGAAGAGGTCTCAGGCAGGAGGAGGAATTGCAAGTCCAGAGGTTACTGGCACTCTTCCAGCCTCTGAAGACTCCTCTAATACTGAAGTTCTAGAAATGTCCGAGGGCAGAGACAATACGGTATGATGGTTAAGAGACCTGAGCTCAAATCTCTGCTCTGTCCTTTGAGCAGAGCTGTGTGGCCTTGGGAAAGTGACCAGAGCCACAGTTTCCTCAATGGCAAAATGGGTAACATCATTAGGAAAATATAAGGTCTCAGCCCAGGCGGGAGGATTGCTTCACCCCAGTTCAAGACCAGCCTGAGCAACATAGTGAGACTGTCTCAAAAAAAAAAAAAAAAAAAAAAAAAAAAAATATAAAAAAAAAAAAAAAAAAAAAAAAAAAAAGTTAGTCAGGTGGACAGAATAACCTTGGATATTGGCATGCTGCAGGATGCTCCCTGCCTGTAGTCCCAGCTACTTGGGAGGCTGAGGTGGGAGGATTGCTTTAGCCAGGGACGTTGAGGCTGCAGTGAGCTGTGATCACATCACTGTTCTCCAGCCTGAGAGACCTGAGAGTGGGACCCTATCTCAAAAAAGAAAAGAAAATTTAAATATAAAAGAAAGGCCTCCACACAGGGCCCTTGGGATGAGACGATGCGCTGGCCTGGCGTGTAGTGAGCGCTGGTTTAATGCCTCCTGGCACTTCTCCACCTCAGCAGGAGGGAGGGCATGAGCTTGGCAGCCCTGAACCTGCCCCCCGCCCTTGTCCTGGCGCCCCAGCTCACCCTCGAGTGCAATGATGGCAAAGTCCTGGGCGGTCTGGGCCTTGCGGGTGGCAAAGCACTGGTAGGCCCCGGAATGGCTCTTCTGGGCCGAGGTGATGAGCAGCGTCTCGTTGCTGAGCCCGCGGATGGAGATGGCCTCGTCGGGCAGCACCAGCTCCGTGTTGCGATACCAGCGGATGGTGAACTCCGGGGAGCCCGTCAGGGCACAGGAGAGGATGACCGTGCTGCCGATGCCGGTCTTCAGCTTCTTTGGTGTCAGGGTCACATGAAGGGGATCTGGGCCGGGAGACATGAGGGGAAATGAGAGGGAGGAAAGAAGAGAAAAAGGGCTTACTGTGGGTGGAGTGCAGCTGGGGGTAGTCAGGAGTCACAAAAGGCCTGGGTCCTGCCTCCAGACCCCTTGTGTGGATGGGGACTGTGGAATTCCTCACGCTAGGCCCTAGTTTACTGTTTGTTAAATGGCAGGCTCAGGCTGAGGGATCTCTCAGTATTTGTTGTCCTGATGGCCTGTGCTCCCCTGAAGTGTGTCCCTGTGCCTGGTGAGAGTATGACGCTCCCTCTGGCTCTTGAGGAGGATGGAGACTTGACTGGCTTATCATCCTCTTCACCATCCACCCCAGAGACTCAGGAGGCACCCTTGGCCCAGCAGGCTGTCTCCCACACCCACAGAGATAACCCATTGCAGCTGGCCTGGTTTCCTCTAGATGGATCTGTGGACCCCCTGCTCGGCATCGCCCCCGCCCCGCCCCACTGCAGGCCTAGAGCTCCCAGCCTGGATCCATGCGGCACACCTCCCTGCCTTCCCCCAGCTGACCTCCATCTGCTCAGAACTTCCATGACTCTAAACAATTCAGCATGGCGTCTGAGGCCCTCAAGGCCCCAGGGACCTGAATCTAGGGGTCGAAAGGAGCTCCGTTGTCACCAAAGCCATACAGTCTTTAGAACACCAGCCAGCTGCCTGTGATTTCTGCATACCCTGTGCTGCTTCTGGGCCCAGGGCCTCACCTACAGCATTCTTTGCCTAATTCTTATTCATCCTTCACATGGTGTTACCTCTTCTAGGAAGCCTTCCTGGACACCAATCCCCTTTCCAGGTTGGGCTAAGGATCCCTTCTTGAGCCTCCCTGTGTATAGCTCACACCACAATGAGCACTCTGTCTCTTCATCACCTCTTCTGTGTCTGTCTCTTTTTCTCTCTGGCCTGTGGGCCACTTGAGAGCAGGATGGAATCTCTCAGCTTCATCGGCCTACCAAGACCTGAGTCATTATTGATGGTCTAACTGGCTTAGCAAGCCATTTACAAGCTCCAGAGTGACCTCTCCTTGATCTCTATGGGTTAGGTGTTCTGTATGGGGGCTCAGGCTCCCTGTATAGCTTGGTATCCCAAGTGAGGAAGCCTGCAGGAGAGGGGAAGACTGCAAGCCCGTGTGGGCCAGGTGCAGCCAAATCAGACATGACTGCATGTGTGGTCCACCCTGCTTGTTTCCCAGAGCCTCCCCCCGATGTCCAGGAGCTGTCAGTGCACACTGAGGCAGGTGGCCTCCTGCTCATCCCAGGCACCAGGTGGAGCTCCCGGTGCTCTGCCAGCCACTGTCTCCTCACTGCCTCTGTGTGGGCTTGGCGCAGGTGGGTGGGGGGCTTCGTGGAGGAGTTGAGGGGTATGGAAAGCATTGCATTTCTCTCCATGAACCTGGCAGAGAAAGGCTGTAGAGAGGCTGGAAGATGCAGAAAAGTCATGTTGATTCCCCTTGAATCTTGGTGGTCCAAACAACCCTGCTGTGGGGAGGGGCAGGCGACTAGGGATCAGAGAAGACGCATTCAGCGTCAGTGTGGGCGTGTACACCTCTGGAGGTGGTGACTCGCGGTACATGTGTGAGTGTGCTTGGATACGGGCACGTTGCTGTGAAGGGATTGTGTAGCTGTGCATGGATGCGGGCACCATATATGCGCGCATGTGTGCATGGGGAGGTGAGCGGGTGTGTTTTCAGCATGTGTGCCTGTGTCTGTGTGTGTCTCTGCTTGCCTGCATGCACTGGTGCAGGAGCCGTGAACACTGCATTTACTACAGAAAAGTTTGCTAATTTTCTGAGGATTTGAGGGTGTGTTGCCCTTCTGACCTATTTTTAGAGAGAGAGAGAGAGAGAGAGAGAGAGCGTGTGTGTGTGTGTGTGTGTGTGTGTGTGTGTGTAGAACAGGAGGGTGGGAAGGAGGTGAAGGTAATATTGGAATAAACTTTTTCAGATAGTACTTAGGGCAAGAAGCGGGTACCAATCCCAATCCTCCGTCTGCTCTGCTGTCCAGGGCTTCTTTGTTCCAGAGGAACTCCCAGGCCCTTGAAGTGGGGCTTGCAGCATTTTCACCTACGCATTTATACTGTGCACCGCCGTCCCAGAGCATTCCTTGGGGCTCTTTCTGTTCTACCTTGACAGTGAGTTTGTGTTGTGGGGGCGCTCTTCCGGGCACTGTGGATCTACACACTCCAACTCTCAAAACTCTCTTGGCTGTTGGGAAGGAGACTCAGCCCTTATCTGGGCTGGGGGAGTCAGACACTAGGCCCAGGAGTGGGCTGCGCTGTGGTTCTCTGGTCAGCCTGCCGTCCTGTGCTCACAGTGGGTGGGAGGTGGGAGGAGAGCTTCTTTGGTCAACTCCCTTGGTCAAAGGGGTGCACCTTTCTCAGGATGGGGGGTGGCATCACCTCCAGATAGTCTCTTTCCACTGCCCATGTTGAATGACCCTCAAGATGCTGTCAGGAATGACAGCTTCATTCCTTTCCCATGAGGCATGGCATTTCCTCCAGGATCTCCAGATCCCAGCCCCACTACAGCCTAGAAAGGAGGGAACTCAGAGAGCCAGACGCTTGGTGCCAGAGCTAGACGGAACCCCTTCATTTCACAGATGGAGACCCTGAGGCTGGGTCACACAGTGTGGGCAGAGGTGGGGTGGGGGGAAGGGTGAGCTGGGTCTCACAAATCCTCATCCAGAGTGCTTTCTGGGGCATTCGTCCATCTGCTTCTACCCTCCCTGCCTGCCTGGGGGGCTCCTCAGCAGCGGGGGTCTGCTAAGGCTGCCTGCTCTCCACACCAGCTCCTTGGACCCCTAGAAGGAGCAGGAGGAGGAATAGGAAGGGACCAGGGTTGATACCCAGCTGGAAGGTCCTGGCAGAGATGACTTGCTTGTTTACGGCCAGTGTTTGCCTTCCTACAAGCCCAGAAGCTCTGCCCTCATGGCTAGCACGTCACTATCACCCTCATCATCCCATTGGAGCCTCATGACCTCTGGGAGGTAGGAAGGCTGGGACCACGTTTCCATTTTACATAGAAGGGCACTGAGCTGATGGTCGTGATTATGTGATTTGCCCAAGTCCAGTTACTATCTGCCAATGCCAGAACCAAAAGGCAGGCCTCTTGATTTCAAGCCAAGGGCTTTTCCAGGACACCAGACTGCCCTCCCCAGCCAGCCTGGGTTATTCCCAGGGCCTGTCAGAGACAGGTGCAGCTGTCGCCCACACTCCTTCCCCAACCCCTGTGGTGCTCTCATAGGTTACTGGGGCTGCAGAAAGGGCTTCCCTGACTCACCAATGACTGTGAGGGTGCCTGTGGCCTCTGCCGAGCCGAAGGTGTTGGTGACCTCACAAATGTAGGTGCCGCTGTCCTCGGTCCGCAAGTCGCTGATGGTCAGCCCCGTGATGCGCTTGGTCCAGCGGCTGTCAGCTGGGAGGGGCCGGCCATCCTTAAGCCAGCGGATGGAGGGGATAGGGTAGCCCGAGGCGGTGCAGGGCAGCTCCACAGTGTGGCCGGCCCACACTTCCTGGGAGTGGAAGCCGTCCAGAATGGTAGGGATCGACTCAGCAGGGTCTGGAAGGCAGAGAGGGTCGGCAGCCCTGGCCAGCCCCGGGTGGGATGCATCGGGGCTGGGGGAGGGAAGGCAAACACCCAGACAGGAGCCTGCTGCCCACTGGCACCCATAACGAGCAGTTTCCAGGGTGGCTCCAGAGGAACATTTCAGGGAGGGTGCATTTTGTCTTCTGTGCTCAGACCAGACTGAGCCCCAGGCAACCTCGACTGAGATTCCCAGCAGGGGCTTGGAGGAGGAGAGAATATGATGGAGTTCAGGGCTAGAGTGACAGACAGAGAGACAGATGGAAGAAGGGGGAAGAGAGCAAGTGGTGCAGCGAGGGAGAGGGTGTGCGTGAGAACTCCTTCCCCATGCAGAGTCCCTGGATTCTTTTTTCAGGATGGAGTCTCGATGACCCAGGCTGGAGGGCTGTGGTGTGATCTCACTGCAACCTCTACCTCCCAGGTTCAAGTGATTTCTCCTGCCTCAGCCTCCCAAGTAGCTGGGCCTACAGGCATACACCACCACACCCAGCTAATTTTTGTACTTTTAGTAGAGACAGGATTTCACCATGTTGGCCAGGCTGGTCTCGAACTCCTGACCTTAGGTGATCCACATGCCTTGGCCTCCCAAAGTGCTAGGATTACAGGTGTGAGCCATGCCCAGCTGTGTCCCTAGATTCTGGCCCAGGCTCTAAAGTGGTACATGTCATGATGTCTCAAGTTTGCAATTTATGGTAAGTATCTCTCTGGGCCTACTGGGAAATGGGAGGACGATCTATCTCTTCCTGCTCTGTCTTCTGCCTGAACTCTAGACAGACTCGGAAATGACCAGTGCATTTCCACCACAGCCTGAAGGATGCAGAAGCCCCACTGGTCACCCTCAACAATCCTCTATTTTGCATTCTGAAACCAAGAGAGACCAGCAACTGTGAGACCTGCGGCCTGATGCCACAGAAAACCATGGCCCCTGCAGGCAGAATTCTGTGTGCAATGCCCAGGCCATTTCTGAGTGGTGCCCCATCTGCCCTCTTGGGCTAGTTCCCACCCTCCAAGGCCTCCCTAGGTCTTCTGCCCTTGGAGGACCTCCTCCTGTTTTAAACCTCACCAGGATCCCCCTCACCTACATAGCACACCTCCACTGCTTGTCCTGAATGCCGAAACCGTCTATGATCTGGCCCAATGAGTCTGGGCCTGGCCTGCCTACACTGCCCCCCATCTCCATGGAACCCTCCAGTGGTGTGCTGGGTCACCTGGATGCCTGGCCAGCCTGTCCTGTCTGGCAGCCCCTACTCATCTCTCACAAACCAGCTTAAATGTCACCTCTTCTGGATGCCTCCCCCAGGTCACCCTCAGTGACTCCCACATATTTTTCTTAACTCCCCTTTATTTTAAAAGAAATGTTTTTTAATAGGTCAGCCATGGTAGCTCATGCCTGTAATCCCAGCACTTTGGGAGGCTGAGGTGGGAGGATCACTTGAGCCCAGGAGTTGGAGACCAGCCTGAGCAACATAGTGAGATCCCACCTCTACCAAAAAGCAAGCAAACAAACAAACAGGACTAGCCAGATGTGGTGGCACAAGCCTGTGGTCCCAGCTACTCAGGAGGCTGAGGTGGGTGGATCAACTGAGCCAGAGATGTGAGGCTGCAGGGAGCTGTGACACCGTGATTGTGCTACTGTACTCCATCCTGGGCAACAGAGCAAGATCGATCTTGTCTCAAAAATAGTGGTAATAATAGTGGTAATAATAATAAAAGCTTTAATTTTTTTTTTTTTTTTTTTTATATTGATTTTTTTTTTTTTTTTTTTTTTTTTTTTTTTAGATGGAGTTTTGCTCTTGTTGCCCAGGCTGGAGTGCAGTGGGAGGATCTCGGCTCACTGCAACTGCTGCCCCCTGGGTTCAAGCAATTCTCCTGCCTCAGCCTCTTGAGTAGCTGGGACTACAGGCGCGTGCCACCATGTCCAGCTAATTTTTGTATTTTTAGTAGAGACGGGGTTTCACCATGTTGACGAGGAATGGTCTCGATCTCTTGACCTCGTGATCTGCCCGAGGTCTCTGGTCTCAGCATCCTCATCTCTTCCTGCCTCAACCTCCCAAAGTCCTGGGATTATAGGCGTGAGCCACTGCACCCAGCTAAAAGTGTTTTAACAGATTAAATAGATAATATATGCACTTGGCAAAACTTCAGAAAGTATAGAAGAGCTTGTCATGAAGGGAGCCTCCCTATCCCCTGACCCTCCTGCCCTCTGCCACCCTACCTGCCTCTCCAGAGGCAGCCCCCATCAGCACTGCCCCTTCCAAGGGCAGTCAGCAGCCAGAAGACCCTGAACTCCTCAAGGCAGTGTTAAACCACGGCTGTGTCTCTCCAGGCTGCTGAACCATAATGTCTGGGGAGGATGAATGGGGCACACAGGCATGGGCAGGCCAGTGGTCTGATTTTTCTGGATGGAAATCTACATTGCAGAACTATATAGACTTGTGGAATTATAGAGCTGGCTTAGGGAGCTTGAGGCAGGAAGAGATGAGGATGCTGAGACCAGAGATGTACAGGGACCAGCCAGATCAGAAGCCAGGACTCCCCACCCTTGTTTGGTAAATGGCATCTGAGATGAATAATCTAAAATCCTAAATTTTGCTTAGGAGTAGATGGTGGTCCCTTCACTAATGCGAGCTTTCCTCTGCCCTCAGCAATTGCCCCAGAGAGGGGCTGGGGTGAGAATTCTCCTATCTAGGGGGAAGAATCTCTCTCTCTTCCCACCTACCAGTGCTTGTCAGGGGCTGCCTGTGGGCTAGAGAAGGAGCCCGGGCTGGGAATCAGGGTCTCCAGGGGCAAGCTCTGCCTGGGTCACTGGGAATCCCTGTGACCCTGTGACCTTGGGCAAGTTTTGTGATCTCTTAGAGCCTGAGTTTCCCCACCTGCACGGTAGAGGTGATAACATCGCCTCCAGACCTCACAAGGCCATTGCAGGCAACCAATGGTATAGGTGTGTGGAAGCGCTTTAGACGCTCAATCCACTTGCAGATATGCGGGACAATTACTTTCTAGAGCCCGTGCGCCCTGCCTGCCAGATTCTGCGGCCTCTTCTCCCAACCCCAACCCAGTGGGAATGGCTGGGATAAACAAACCCGGTGCCAGGGAAGAATTACTCAATGTGACACTTAATTGATGCAAAATACACAAATTCCGTGGCACACCGCAGAATTTACAAGCGGAGGGGCCATCAGGGCGGTGGAGAAAGGGGCGGGGGGAGGGAATTAATCACCGAGGCTCAGGCGTGAAATTAAATTCTGAGGGAAAGAAACCTCTTTCATTACTCCAGAGCAGAAGTAAAATGCTGCGGCGTGTACACGGCGACAGCCCCGGGGGGACCGGGCGCTGCTGGCACTGAAGCAGGGCTGGGGGAGACAGATGGTCCGGCCTGAGAAACTGCTGGGGGTGTACTGGAGCTGGGCTGGCTGGCTGGGGGTGTGAGCTGCCCTGGGGAGGCTGCTGGGACCCCTCATAGCCAGCTGAACAGCACTGCTGTGGTGTTTAGGTGGTTAGGGCGCCGCCAGGAGCATGGCTTCAGCAGCTGGCTCTGTCCTTCGTGACCTGGGGGATCTGATCCCAGTCCCTCAGCCTCTCTGGCCACTGGTTTCCTCTTTTATAACTGCAGATGACAGTGCTCATCCCACTGAGTTGTTGTGGGGACAAAGTGAGTTAATACACCTGAAAGCACTTGGTAAGCTCTAAAAAAGCACCTAGAGGTACAGAATGATTATGATTAGGTTGTATTTTGTGGAGGCGCAGACTATTCTTGCAACTGCCTCAGCAACTTGGAAAATACAGAAAAATGAAAGTTGCGCTCCTTCCCTACCCCCGAGCCTTGGGAATGTAGTAGGAATAACAACGTAGCAACAACAGAACAACAATCACTGACAATAACAGTAGCAGCTACGCCTGTCCCGTGCTTCTGCCTGTCAGGCACTAGCTATGCTTTTTATAGGCGTGCTTTATATATTATTTATTTATTTGAGACAGAGTCTCACTCTGTCACCCAGGCTAGAGTGCAGTTGCCTGATCTTGGCTCCCTGCAACCTCTGCCACTTGGGTTCAAGTGATTCTTCGCCTCCACCTCCCAAGGAGCTGGGATTACAGGTGTGTGCCATCATGCCCGGCTAATGTTTGTATTTTTAGTGAAGACGGGGTTTTGCCATGTTGGCAAGGCTGGTCTTGAACTCCTAGCCTCAAGTGATCCACCTGCTTTGGCTTCCCAAATTGCTGGACTTGCAGGCTGGGATCACCACGCCTGGCCTTTCTTAATAGGCGATATTCTATTTCATTCTCACCACAACTCAGTGGGATTATGTTTCGTTACTCCCATTTTCCAGATGAGGAAGGTGAGGTTTGGAACATAGTTTTATGCCAGGCTGCAAAACTAGTGAGTGTTGAGGCAGAGATGGAAACTTTGGCCTAATTCATAACTGCCGTCTTAATAACTCACCTCGTTATCTCTCCCCACCCCCAGCAACTTTAGCACTGAGTGCTGAAGAGACCACACATGTGGTTCTTGTTCTCATGAACTGACCGTTCTCACCTGCAACAAGCCCCAGGAGCTCTCGGGGCCCTGGCCTCTAGAGACTGAAACATCTCAGCTGACACTCGTGTCCTGCCTCTCTCAGAGGACTGATCCCCACCCTCTTTTCTGAGGAGTGGATTGGAAGTGCACTGGGGAGGGGTGGGTGAGTCCGAGGCAGGCTCTGGGCTCCCCAGTGCCACTGCCCCCCCATGCATTGCTTGCTCCAGTATCAGTTGCATTTTTGCCGAGACAAGCAGCTTGCAGATAGTCTTGTCACATCCCATCACATCAGGGTCCGTGTCACTGCACGGGCCCCCTCCCCATAGGCCCCCTCTCTCCCTTCCTTTGCCTCTGTGCATATATCTCCATTCTGCCTTTCCCCTGCCCTATGCCAATCTCTCTCTGTGCCGAGGACTCTCTTGTCTGTCTGAGTACCGTCCCATCTTCATGCCCGCTTTTCTATTTGGGCTTTATCTGTGAGTATCCTCCCCCTCGCCCCTTCTCCTGAAAGCTGGTGGTGAAAGAGGAGGGGAAGAAGGGCTGGCATGGCCGCCAGTTCAAAGAATGTCTCCTTTTGAGGGACTCCTGCCTAGTGCCCCTAAAAGCTAGAGGTCCAACCAGGAGACTGGAGGATGAAGGGGCCAGATATTCACGGAGGGGAAGGGAGCAGGCCTGCAGGAGGGGAATTTCTGTGCCTTTCCTACATCGCAGAAAAAACATGCAAATGAGATGCAAAACACCATACAAACAAGTCCCTGTAATTTTGAGGCAAGCCCTTTGGAAACTGGGCTTCGGATTTCAAAGTCAAGCCACAAAGATGGGGCAACATGGAGCAGCCCTGTCCCCTACCCATATGACAGCACAGTTTCCCTTGGCATTGATTAATGCCATAAATATTTACTTGGCACCTACTCTGTGTTAGACACAGGGCCAGGTGTTGAAGACATGGGGTGAATCAGCAGCCTGGTTGTTGCCCTCCCAACTCCTGATCTCCTGGCCTTGCCCCACGTGTGATAGACAAGTGCGAGGGGTCCTGGAGAGGGTCATCTGTGGGTCAGGGCAGAGCTCATCAACAACCACCAAACTCAGGCCAGAGCTCTGAGCGCCAGAGGCAGATAGAGTCAGAGCAGCCACCAAGTCTGGCTCCTTTTCCAGAGGCCTGGAGAGGCTGCGTGACTTCATGAGTCTAATCCCAAAAGCCAGGTGTTCTGACTTAGTGTTCATCCTCATTCCAAAAACTCCAATCTCAAGACAGAGATTTTCGACTCACAACCCACAAACTGTTAGGAGGTTTTGAAGTCCATTTGGAGGGTAGTGGCCAGCATTTATAGAAATCAGAATAAGATAGAATAGAGTAGAAAATTTCAGGCCGGGCACGGTGGCTCATGCCTGTAATCCCAGCACTTTGGGAGGCCGAGGTGGGTGGATCACGAGGTCAGGAGTTCAAGACTAGCCTGACCAACGTGGTGAAATCCCTGTCTCTACTAAAAATACGAAATTAGCCTGGCGTGGTGGCACATGCCTGTAGTCCCAGCTACTCGGGAGGCTGAGACAGGAGAATCATCCGAACCCAGGAGGCAGCAGTTACAGTGAGCCAAGATTGCACCATTGCACTTCAGCCTGGGCGACAGAGCGAGACTCCATCTTAAAAAAAAAAAAAAAAAAAACAGAAAGAAAGAAAATTTCACAGCGCCTTGCCATAAGCGTGGTAGAAAATGCCAGCGCGCATCACGCAGGCTCCAATAAGAACATCTGTCTCAGCATTACGGTCAAAGAGTTTGGAAACCGCTGTTCAGAAAGCCTTCCTTGAGGAGTGCCTGTCTGTGCCTGCAGCATGGATGTGGGCATTCAACTGGTCCCTTCTATGGGGTCCTGTAGCTGGAAGGACCCCGAGGCCAGGGGCCTAGAGTTTGAATTCTGGCTGTGCCTCTCACTGGTTAAACAGCTCTGGTAAGTCACTGGGCTCCCCTAAGATTTGGTTTTCTTGCCTGTAAAAATAGGGGGAATAGCACACACCTCACAGGGCTATGACAGTATCTGACAGAAAGCAAACGAGGGCATCCCAGATACACAGGGGGATTCAATAAATACCCGCTTCCATCCCTCCCGAGAAGCTATAATCACCCCAGAACAAGAATCCTTTATTCCACTTAGAAATATTTCGTTTATAAATTATGTTCTGCTTGCTTTCAAACTTTGTAAGGTGGCCTACAACAAAAGATACACATGTACTCATGGACAAGATGGAGTCCTCAGGCTGGGCATGGTGGCTCACGCCTGTAATCCCAGCACCTTGGGAGGCTGAGGCGGGTGGACCACCTGAAGTTAGGAGTTTGAGATCGGCCTGGCCAACATGGTGAAATGCTGTCTCTACTAAAAAACATAAAAATCAGGAATGGTGGCACATGCCTGTAATCCCAGCAACTCAGAATGCTGAGGCAGGAGAATCACTTGAACCCAGGAGGCAGAGGTTGCACTGCGCTAAGACCACACCATTGCACTTCAACTTGGGCAACAAGAGCGAAACTCCATCTCAAAAAAAAAAAAAATCCTCAAAAACACTTAGAAGCAAGGAAATGCAAACCGCCCCTCCCCCTCAAGTCGACACTAATCGTTACTATGAGTATCAGATTTTATCTATGAGCTTCCTGTCAGGGAAAGCAAAAAAGGAAAAAGAGGGTGGGTCTCATAGCCCTCATTATTTGAAAATGAAAACATAGCAAAGGGGTCTTCCTCAGTGGTTTTGTACCTGTTTTCTTTAATCTCTTTCTCTGATTTCCCTGAGTACACAGGGGTCTCCTTCATCTGTAGTGGGACATGTCAAGTTCCAGGGATGGCCTGGTGTCCTCCCTCCCCAGCCTGCCCCATTCTTCCCAGGCCCTCTCCCCTACCTGTCACAGAGAGGCGTGCCCCATTGCTCTGCCGAGTCTCCCCGCTGTACTTGTGCTTGGTGATGCAGCGATAGGTAGAGAGGGCGTCCTCCTTCTGTACGTCAGATATGTACAGCCCGCCGTGGTAGGTAATAAAAAACCTGTTTTCTGGAGACACAATCAGGACATAGTTCGTTACTCTACTGTCTGGTGCAGCCTCAGAGGCAGGGTAGCGTATCTGACAAATAAGGATTTTCACACACAAACAAGATGACAAACAGAAATTATAGTAATTGTTCCTTTCAGTACAGATGCTCCAGAGTTTAACAAAAAGAAGTTGGGCTTTAGAGTCAGACTGAGATCTGTGTCCTGATCTGGCTCTTCTGCTTATGGGCTGTGTGACCTTGGGAAAGTTACTTAACCACTCTGAGCCTTATCCGTACAATAGCTGACTAAATAGCTCTGGCAAGTCTCTGGGCTTCCAGGGAAGCCAGTACAAATAATGATGTGGATATACAGATTTATAAAATGGGGCCAGGTGCAGTGGCTCGCATCTGTAATCCCAATGCTTTGGGAGGCTGAGGCAGGAGGATCACTTGAGTCCAGGAGTTTAAGACTATCCTGGGCAATACAGTGAGACACTGTCTCTACAAAAAAATTAAACAATTAGCTGGGTTTGGTAGCACACGCCTGTAGTCCCAGATACGTGGGAGGCCAAGGCAGGAGGACTGCTTGAGCCCAAAAGGTCAAGGCTTCAGTGAGCCGTGATCACGCCACCGTATTCCAGCCTGGGTGACAGAGTGAGACTCTTGTCTCTAAAAAAAGTAAAAACAAAAAGAAGAATAAAGTGGCTGGTACAGAATAAGTAGTCACTAAGTAAATATTAGTTCTCATCTTTCCTACCTCTTTGAAAGAGTTTGCAAAGCTCATTCATATTCCTTGCTCATTGGCTTTTACCACTGTTTGAGGAGCTAACTCCATTTTACAAAGAAGGAAACTGAGGCTTGTAGTAAAGTGACTGGCCCAGGTCACACAGCCAGGAAGTGGGCTGGAACTTCTGACTCCCAGTCCTTCCTCTGCATGGGACTGAACATAAGCCCCAAGCCTCTTCCCTCAATTTAAATCATTTAATCACTCAACAATTATTGAAGCAAAGCTATACTAGGATGGGGACAAGGAGGGGCAGAGACACGAGATACACAATAATCATTCAGTTCTCGAACACCCATTGTGTGCAAGGCAGAGAAGGGGACAGGCACTATGCTCTCTGCCTCCTGCCACTGCCATAGCCATCTCCTCCCCCATTGTCGGGACCTGGCAGGGGAGCAGAAGACACAGGCGGCAGTATGCCCACTTTGTAGACTGTGACACAAGACCCCCTCCCATCCCAGAGGGCAAGGGAATTTCCTTGTCAAAGGTCCTAAGGCTCACCTTGACCTTGAGCCGATAAAGGCTGATTTAAAGGAGAAAACTGGACTTGAGGGCTGAGGAGGGGTTAGCACTGGACTGCCTAAGGTTATGACTGTGTCCTCCCACTGAGGCCAGACTGAGATGGAGAAGCGAACTCTGGGGTCCTCTGTCTCTGCTTTGGGGGTTTCCCAGGCAGACCCAGAGGGCCCAGGCTGCCATTTCCATTGAGAAAGGGCCTTGGGGTCAGGATACTGATAGTGACTTCAGAGCCGCAGGGGAGAGGGTCATGCTGAACCCACGGGAGCGACCTGATAGCACCATATGTCAGGCTGGCAGACGGAAACATTTTGGGCAGCCCCATGCCCTTCTAACACTATGATTTAGAGGTCTGCTTCCTCCTACCTGGGGGCTGACCTTCCTCTGCCAAGATGAGAGCTCTGCTCCTGTGAGGAATATTCTGTGGTATCCCACCCACCCCCTCTACCATCCCAAGCACAAGTCCAAGATTCTCAGCACCCAGGGGTGGAGACCTCACTGAAGGACACCTCTGACACTGGAGGCTGTAGAACTGCAGGGCTGAAAAGCTGAATGTGTGACGATATCGTTCACAAACATTCTCCAGCCTTCATCTGAATATCTCTGGGGCTGGGGAGCTCCCTCCCTCCCTTTGCAGCCCATTGTAAAGATGACTTTTGGAGCAGTCTTCCTTGGTGACCACTGATCTCCTTGGCGCTCCCTCCCTGGGTCCTGCTTTGACTCACCCCACAGAACTAGCCGAAACCCGTGTTCCTGACATACTCCCTCACATGCTGGAAGGCAGCTGTGATGCCTTTGAATTTTCTTTAGGCTTAACAGGCTTAGGATTTTATTTTCATTTTATATTTTTTTGAGACAGGGTACTGCTCTGTTTCCCAGCCTGAGTGCAGTGGTGTGATCACAGCTCATTGCAGCTTGACATCCTGGGCTCAAGCGACCCTCCCACCTCAGCCTCCCTAGTAGCTGGGACCCCAGGCAGGCACATCGTGCCTGGCTAATAAAAAATTTTTTTTTGTAGAGATGAGGTCTCACTATGCTGCCCAGGTTGGTCTCAAACTCCTGGAAGCAAGGGATCCTTCTGTCTTGGCTCTCCAAAGTGCTGGGATGATGGGGATTTTATGTTTTAATAATTATTTATTTAATATAGTTTCAAATAACTTCATCAATCTGGTCTCGCTTCTGAGTGAACTTTGGTTTATCTACAATTCCAATTGCCCCTCTTTCCTCCCTTCCTCCCTCTCACACATCTCTGTGTAGGACTGGACCTGCCACATGCCAGACACTCCGCCCCACTTTGTGGGCTCCTAAGATCAGACTTAGCCCATAAGGGTAGAGCAGAACAAGACTACCAACGCCCAGCGCCAGGCTGCATCCCCTTGTCACGGGGATGGCGTGGGAGGAGGGAGGCAGCCCCATTATACTACTCTCCTTGCAGTCAACTAAAGACCCTGGCCCTGTCTCTGTCAGCCACGGCTATGCCACTTTCCCTCTCTGTGTCCTTGGACAGTGGTTATATGGGCCAGAGCCTGGGACTTCCCACCGATCCTTGTTGAGCTACATCTTGTTGGGGATCCTGCCAGATGAGCACTCGGCCATCTGGCAGCCTGCCCATCTTCTGGAACCTGGAGCTTGTGGACACCCTGCTCTACCCCGCTCCAGCACACAGACTACAGACGTGCAGACCCCGCGGCTAGGCAGACCCCCGCTCAGGGCAGTGGGTGAGGATGAGAAGGAAGGCGGAGGACATCAAGCCCTGCAGGTGTCTGTCAGAGAGGACGCGAGGAATCGCAGAGAAAGCCGACTCCCCAGTGGACTCTGCATGTGCCGTTTTGTCTCCATGTTGTGACATCCCAAAGTCAAATGCGGAAGCTCTCCTGTAATTTATTATGTAACTGGGACTGGAATGAGAACGACTGGAGGGTGTTGCTGCCAATCAGAAGTACCAGTGTCGGGAGGTGGTGGTGGTGGTGCTGGTGGTGGCTGCGGTGTGGTGAGGAAAAACAGGAAAGACACAGAAGTCAACGTTCACAGACGACAGGTGCTCCAGACCTGGACAGCTAGGACCCTGTGATCTTTCATCTCCCACCACTTCAGGACAAACAGAGCACTTGGCCCTACGAGGATTTTAAAGCAGGGGTGGGGGGTGGAGGGTGGGGGGCTGATGCTGCCTTGATGGTGGTGGGGAGCTAGGGTTTCTATAGCAACAAGCAGCTGCTGCATCTGATGTTTCACATCCTTCATTGTCCTCATTTTCCCCTCCCTCCCCCCCTTCTTGTGCATATTTAATTGCAGTAACGTTTTCAGACACAGTGTTTTGCTCCTCTTGAAACAAAGGCAGGCTGCAGCCAGGGGGACGCACAGCACGAGAGGGGAAGGAGAAATCAGGGTGTGATGTTCGTCCCCTCGGGGGGGCCTTGTGCAACATCAGTTCTGTATGTTTGATGAGCACTGGATGGTGGGCCCTGCTGGGGAAGGAGGGAGCAAGAGGCCTGTGGAGTGAGCCTCGTTCAGTGTGGACAGCGGAGGGAGACGCAGCCCGCTGCTGGGGGATGCAGACAGGCTGGGGCTGGACAACGTGGCTGGCTTCCCGAGACGGCAGCCCATGCTCTGTGCCGAGATGTGACCAGCCACCCCTGGGAAGGGAGTAGAGTGGCTGGCCCACATCCTTGGCTTCCTGGCTTTGAGGCAGGCGGGGTCCCACCGGAGAAGGAGAAAATGGCAGCCTGTACCTCCGGGTCCAGCGCAATTCCTGAAGCCACTTGGAAACGTGGGGGGAGGTGGGACCATTTTGGGTGGACGCCATAATTTGGGGCTGCTAAGGGCATTTAGTGGTTAGGGGCCAAGGGAGCTTGAGTAACAAAGAACTGTCCACCCCAAATGCTGACAGTGTCCCTGTGGGTTTAGGCTGGAGGGTGCCATTCTTTTAGGCTCTAAGACCAAGACACAGAGCTATGTTTAAATGCTGATGGTGCCCCTGACATTGCTTGATCGACATATTTCAGAGGCTGTAGTGTCATCTGTCTACGTGCTCATGTGTAGGGGGGTGGCTGGTTTCTGCTTTTCTTCTTTTTATTATAACCACAAAGACCCTGACCTATTTTGACATCCCCTTTCCTCTGTGATCTGGAGCACGACTCTATTTTTTTTAAAGCTAAATATTTATTGGGTAGCTATTACAAGTTAGGCCAATGGCTTTATGTACATTATCTCATTTAATCCCCACAACCCTTTGAAATGGAAACTATTACTATTATCAACTGAAGCACAGAGAAGTTAGGTAATCCATCCAAGGTCACAGCTAGAAGGTGGTAGAGCCTGGATCATTAGTCCTCTTCCTAGGCTCTTCCTGGAGTCCAGCTCTATGCTGGACTGAGTCTCCTGGAATGGCAGCACCACTCACGGGGACATATGGTCAGCCAGCCTCTGTCTGGTCACTTCTGTCAATGAGATCCTCACTGCCTCCTGGAGGAGCACTCATCCATCTAGCTCAGTTTGGCTGTCTATTGCGTCTCTCTGGAGTGTCTCCAGGTCCTGGTCTGGGCACCATGGAGAAGTAGTGGACTTGGTCTCTGCCTTCTGAGATTCCACGGTTAGAAGACAATGTCCTTCCACCATGGAAACTGTGGCCGTCAGTGCTGGGGCACTGGGGAGGGCTATGGAAGGTCTCGTGGAAGCTGTGAGTGAGAGGAAGTGCACAAAGAGGGGCTGGGCCGCCAGGGGAG